GATAAAATACAATACAGATATTAATAATAAAAAAATATTAAATCGTAAATTCAAATATTATGCTCCCAAGATACACAAGATACATTACCGAAGATTTTATAAATATCTGCAGGTAACAACAAAGAAGCTTGTACCTTAAATGGAACTTGTGGAGAATGAATGAAATCTCAATTTTTAAGACAAGGTACTTTCAGTTTCGTTTGGTTTTTATTATTGTCTAATACTTTTCTGGCAGGTTTAATAATTTATTGATCTCCATCTAAAAGTATTAATATATACTTGTTTTATATTTGTAATTAGTGATATTCTTTCATATCTAAATAATTGAAATATATTAACATTTTTATAATACAAAGGGATTTTATTAGTGTTATACATTATTGTTACACTAGCTGTAATATTTTAATTGGATATTTAATTCCCTTCAGTATAATGAGTATACATGTTATTTAAGTATGGAACTATATTATTATATGGTATATAGCATAGATTAGAACATTAATAGAGTCATGTGTAATTTAGATAAGTAAAATGTCTAAAAAAATTATATAAACTCCAATTCTATATAAATTTTGTATTATATATTATGATATTGTATATTTATACCTCAGTAAGAAGATTGGTACAGACTAGTGAGAAACAAGCCCAATACCAATCCCATTATCCTAATAAAAGTACTAATCCAACATTGGAATGAAAACAATCTTAAAAATGTATAATACACAACTTTATTGAATCCCTATAAGGATAATACAAAAAAAAAAACACAAAAAAAACAGTGCCAAGAAAATGTGGTTAAAGTGAAAAAAAAAAATAAATACAATTGGACAAGCAGATAGATCATTTCATATATAGATAGTCAGAATGATCTCCCAGCTTGGAACTAGACTAGAGAGCAGGTGAACATAACCTGAAGCAAAGTTGCAAAAATTGCACACAAATTAAAAGCACCCAGCTATGTTTTATAGGATGTTGTGGGCTGGGAAAGTCTAATATAGTATCTAATATGTAACAATAAATGTAGATAATGTAGCCGACTGATCCTAAGGCAGTGAAATAAATAATAGGCAGAAATTGTTGAGTAAGAAGGGCTCCATATGATGTTAACCAATGACTATCTTATAACCCCTTAGTTACCAGACCATTTTAAAATTTTAAGGAACAGGGCTGTTTTTACATTTCTCCTGTGTTTGTGTTTAGCTGTAATTTTCCTTTTACTCATTAACTGTACCCACACATATTATATACTGTTTTTCTCGCCATTAAATGATCTTTCTAAAGATAGCATTCTTTTCATCATATCATGTAATTTACTATAAAAACATTATAAAATATGATGAAAAAAATAAAAAAAACACTTTTCCTAAATTTGACCCCCAAAATCTGTTACGTATCTACAACCGCCAAAAAACACTCATGCTAAATAGTTTCTAAATTTTGTCCTGAATTTATAAATACCCAATGTTAACGTTCTTAGCTTTTTTTTGCAAGTTGTAGGGCTATAAGTACAAGTTTGGACATTACTGTTTCAAAATACTTATTTTTAACATGTATTAATAGTGACATTGTAACAGTGTTATTTGTCATTAATCTCTGAATAACACCTTACATGCACATGTTTTTTTTTAAAGTAGACAATCCAGGGTATTCAGCATGGGGTATGTCCAGTCTTTTTTAGTAGCATTTAGTCACAAACACTGGCCATAGTTAGTATTTATATTTGCTTGTGTGTTAAAAATGCAAAAAAACTATTATGAATGCTAACTTTGTCCAGTGTTTGTGACTAAGTGGCTACTAAATAAGCTTGAACAAACCCCATTTGCAATACCTTGGGTTGTCTTCTTTTGCAAATAGTATGCCATTATGGGGGTAATTCTCATTCCTGGGCTACCATATGCTCTCAAATGCAACATAACTAGAGTTGAGTGAACCCGAACTGAAAAGTTCGGGTTCGTACCGAACATTAGGTTTATTGGACCCTGAACACGGACATATCACTGTATGTTCTGGTTGGAGTTCGGTGTTCAGCGATTTAATGGCGCATTTTCAAAGGCTGCAGGGCAGCCAATCAACAAGCGTTTGACTCGTGGGCCCTTAGAAGCCATCACAGCCATGCCTACTAATGGCATGGCTGTGATTGGCCAGTGCAGCATGTGACCAAGCCTCTCTATATAAGCTGGAGTTGTGTAGCGCCGCATGCACATGCAGTCTTATTAGTGTAGGGAGAGGATGCTGCCGCTGATATGGACAGCTTAGGAAAGAATTCTGCAAACTAGTATATTGGTGGGGTGGGGTGTACTTCATATCTGAGAGTCAAATAAAAGCTTCAAATACCGCGGTTACATCAGCGTTTTAATAAGTAAATTTTTTTTGGTGCGAAATAGTACATTAGTGGGGTGCACTTGATATCTGAGAGTCAAATAGAATTGTCAAATACTGCTGTCACATTGCAGTTTTAAAACTTAACATTTTTTGGGTGCTAAAAAGTACATTAGTGGGGTGCACTTCATATCTGAGAGTCAAATATAAGCGTCTAATAGTGCGCTTACTGCACAGTGGTAAACATTCTAATTGTTTTGCTGCTAAACAGTACATTTTGGGGTCTGTTCTTCATATCTGAGAGTCAAATAGAAGCGTCTAATACTGCGCTTACTGCGCACTTGTAAACATTCTAATTGTTTTGCTGCTAATCTGCTGCTTACATTGGAGTTTTAAAAAGTAAAATTATTTTTTTTTGAGCTAAATAGTATATTTGGGGTGTTCACTTCATATTTGAGAGTCAAATCGAAGTGTAACTTTGATTCAAATTTACTACATCGGTCACTTGTAATATTGTTTCACACCTACAACACTTGTTACGCAGATTTAAGTGATAGAAAACAGATTGATATTTTCTACACTAGAAACTACCAGATAACAAGCTGCTATAGGTAAACCACTTATCAATAGCTAAGAGGTACTTCAACAATATTGTAATTCTGGGGCAATACCATCACAAGTCAAACTGAGAGGTCAGTTTATAGGGAAAACTGTTGCCTGGATACAATTCTAAAAGAAATTTCCATATGTCCTTTGCAGACTTTACATGCTGGAAAAAACACAGGTGCTAACTGCTTCAGCTTTCTGCAGTGTGCATACCGGCAAGGAGGGCAGGGTTGAGGAGTGGGTGGAAGAGGGTGTGTGCTAATCTGCTAAATAGTACATTTTGTGGCCTGCTCTTCATATGTGAGAGTCAAATCAAAGCGTCTAATAGTATGCTTTCTTTGCACTAGTAAACATTCTAATTGTTTTGCTGCTAATCTGCTAAATAGTATATTTTGGGGCCTGTTCTTTATATCTGAGAGTCAAATAGAAGCGTCAAATAGTGCGCTTACTGTGCAGTGTTAAACATTTTAATTGTTTTGTGGCTAATCTGCTAAATAGTAAATTTTGGGGCCTGTTCTTAATATCTGAGAGTCAAATTGAAGCGTCTAATAGTGCGCTTACTGCGCACTTGTAAACATTCTAATTGTTTTGCTGCTAATCTGCTAAATAGTACATTTTGGGGCCTGTTCTTCAAATCTGAGAGTCAAATAGAAGCGTCAAATAGTGCGCTTACTGCGCACTTGTAAACATTCTAATTGTTTTGGTGCTAAACTGCTAAATAGTACATTTTGGGGCCTGCTCTTCATATCTACAAGTCATACTACAACAAAATTAAACAAGTTTTAAAATATGTATGGGCCAACCAGTGGCTGTAAACAACAAAGTTTTACTGGTTACATTCATGTCTACACACTCTAGTGAACAGGACCTTCATGTAGTGTGTTTTTTTTTTAAAATCATACAGCATCCTTTCATGTGCTTTTCAGATGTCATATTGTGAATTACCAATTTTTGTGTAGCCTAATTTATTTTTTAAAAAGTGAAAAATAAGTGTTATTGTGATCGCTTCATATACATAAGCATTAATATACATTTATATATTGTGTAAAGACACAACTACAAAGTTTAAAAATCAAACACCAAAACAACGTGCCAGACAATCTACCTGGGCATGGCTAGTATGATATAATAAGTCTACATCTTAAAAATGCAATAACCCACAGAAGATGGGCGAGAATTTTTTTTGCAAATGGAACTTTGATTAGAATATACTACATCGGTCACTTGTAATATTGTTTCACACCTACAACACTTGTTACACAGATCTAAGTGATAGAAAACAGATTTATATTTTCTACTCTAGAAACTACCAGATAACAAGCTGCTATATTTAAACCAGTTATCAATAGCTAAGAGGTACCTAAACAATATTGTAATTCTGGGGCAATACCCTCACAAGTCAAACTGAGAGGTCAGTTTATAGGGAAAACTGTTGCCTGGATACAAATCTAAAACAATTTCCATATGTCCTTTGCAGACTTTACATGCTGGAAAAACACAGGTGCCAACTGCTGTGGCTTTCTGCAGTGTGCATACCGGCAAGGAGGGCAGGGTTGAAGAGTGGGTGGAAGATGATGTGGAGGATGATGTGGAGGATGATGAGGTCCTACACCCCACATGGAATCAAGGTCATGCGAGTGACGTGTGCAGTTTGGAGGAAGAGGCGCTGGTCGCACAGAGGATGAGGGAGCAGGATGCAAAAGCGGAGTATAAGAGGGAGCAGGGTGCAAAAGCGGCCGTCCCCTAACGCTCGTCGGCATGTATTAGCTCGAGAATTACCAGTTATCCAAGCAATACATCTAGTGATCAAAGGATCCATAATAGACTTGATAGTACCAGATTTAACGATCCATTCGTAGTTTCACAGTGAGGTGGGCAGTCCGGTGACCAGGATTTAGACACTGTCAGTATGTGATATTAACTGTAGTGGCTGTGCGCGCTTTTGGCGTTGTCACCCTGCTGCTGCTCGCCTGTCTGCGCTGCAGCGTAACTTCGGCCTTCCTGCTCACCGCCTCATGAGACTTTGCGAGCAGCAGCAGGCGATAGTGGAGTTTCAGCTGCAGCACGCACGGGTCAGTGGCTCTGCACCAGACTTCCCAACAATTGATCAGAGTTAAAGTATTTTAAGTGGACTCATTACAATTACAGGGCCTCTAAAGAGTCCTGTATTGTTATTTGTCATCACTACCTTCCCGCGTTGGGAGTGGGTCATTTGCGCGCCTGTTGCCTTCCTTGCATGTGGTAGCCGTTTTTCAGGGTTCCTGTACCGAATGGAACCCTGATATCCCAATACCCATGGTCACCATGGCAGGCGCAGAAACTGACATTGAAAGTTGATATGGATGACATCCGCATGCAAAGTCGCTGCCACAGGGATGTGCGATTTGCCCAAGGTTCTCTAGAGACAACAAAGTTCCTGCGCAACTATAATGTCAACAGCTACTCTGTAGAACAGAGTTGTCTTTTTTTATATGTCCCAATATTTTGGGGGCTACCCCAATTAAAATATATATATATATATATATATATATATATATATATATAACAACAGTGTTGGCTACCTCATCCACCGCCATGGTCACCGCCTCCGCAACCTATGGGTCACTTAGTATAAACTAGGTACACAATAGCAGAGGCTTGTGAAGGCCCTTTCTCCATGCATCAGGACTGCAAGAAATGCACCGCAGGCCGCAAATGTTACTTTATTTGTATGTCCCAATATTTTGTGGGCTACCACAATTTAAAAAAAACCCAAAACATAAAATACAGTGTTGGCTACCTCATCCTCCTCCTCCAGCGCTGCTTCCTCCTCCACCGCCACGGTCATTGCCTCCTCAACCTATGGGTCACTTAGGATAAACTAGGTACACAATAGCAGAGGCTTATGAAGACCTTTTCTCCATGGAACAAGGGGTTGAGCATTTCTACATGCATCAGGACTGCATGAAATGCACCACAGGCCGCAAATGTTTCTTTTGTTGTATGTCCCAATATTTTGTGGGCTACCACAATTAAAAAAAACCAAAGAAACCTATAATACAGTGTTGGCTACCTCATCCTCCTCCTCCACCGCCACAGTCACCGCCTCCTCAACCTATGGGTCACTTAGTATAAACTAGGTACACATTAGCAGAGGCTTGTGAAGGCCTTTTCTCCATGCATCAGGATTGCAAGAAATGCACCCAATATTGCACCCAATATTTTGTGGGCTACCACAATTAAAAAAACAAAACATAAAATACAGTGTTGGCTACCTCATCCTCCTCCTCCACCGCTGCTTCCACCTACACTGCCACGGTCACCGCCTCCTCAACCTATGAATCATTTAGTATAAACTAGATACACATTAGCAGAGGCTTGTGAAGGCCTTTTCTCCATGCATCAGGAGTTAAACTCAGTTTGAACAATGAAAAAGAATACCCTGCACTCCAACCCTCTCTCAAATTGATAATTCTGGTGATCCTCCTGACAGCCATGCTTTAGATTTTGATTTATGTTCTTCCAAAGCTAAAATCAAAGACTCCATCTAGTGCTATTTATGGCTCAGCTGTATTTTTAATTTTTATGTTATTTTAAGTGATTTCCCTATTCACATTTGTTTGCAGGGCACTTGTCCTACTCTTACCCCCATTTTACTTGCTTTTGTAGCTCTCTAGCTCTTTCAAAGAGTTTTTTAGAGAGATTCTTGTGGCCAAAAGTTCAGGTCCCCATTGACTTCAATGGGGCTCAGATTCAGGGTCAAGTTCAGTGTCAAGGTCGAGCCTGAACCCGGACTTTTTTTCAAAGTTCGTCCAAATCCGCCGGACCCGAACATCCAGGTGTCCGCTCAATTCTAAACATAACCAATCTGGCAAATTTCAATGTGAAAATCAAGCCTTATATTTGACCCTATAACTTTCAAAAACACTATAAAACCTGTACAACAATGATATCATCAGTAAAAGTGCCAATTTTGTGTGTTTTGAAGCACTAATATTTGTGTTCAGCAATGTCTCCCGAGTAAAACAGTACCCCCATGTACAGGTTTTAGGGTGTCATGGAAAGTTACAGGGTTAAATATAGTGCTAGCAAATTAAATTCTCTGGACTTTCTGTCTGGGTTGTCAGGCAGGTCCCTCAATTAATAAAATTACTTAATTATGTAAAAAAACATAAAATAGTGATGGTGCGCAACAATAAATACAACACTCACTATGGGTGTCTTTAAAAAAATAGAACCTCTACAGAGTAACAATCAGCATCCGTGTTACAGACCTAGGTGCATACTAGGTTCATTAAAATTAATTATTGGTGCAAACAGTGATATTTGTGACCAAACAGAAGTGACAAGTGAATATACTTGCAACAATGGAAATTCTGGTTCTAAGAGAGGGCTCCTAGTGCAGCACAATTAAGATATATATATATATATATATATATATATATACATTCCAAGAAAATGTAGCTCTTAAGGTAGCTCACTCACAAGATTGGAGTGGTAAAAGCACCACTCGTGGCTATAGCACTCAGGGAGGATCAGCCCCTAGAATACGTGGGATCTGTGGGAAAACACTTGCAACATGGATGATAGGTAAGTATATTCTTTATTCAAGTAAAACTAAAATCAATGGTGATATGTAAAATCCTTGATCTGCTCACCAGCCTTAGGAAACCGAAAGGAAAGTTCAATATAAATGTATATAAAGTAGTCTTTCGGATCTCTTATCCTCGGTTGTTCCTGCTGACCATATGAATTTACTTCCTGACTCCGGATCCGTGATGCATTTCGCCCCTCCTCTCGTGGCTTTGTCAAACGGCTTGTGTGTCCTCCCACTTTTCTCCACTTTATATGCGAGGGTTCATGATCCAATTTGCTAATAAGTCCTTCTGCACAGAGTCTCTTATCTTCTCCTTAAAGGACCACTATAGTGCCAGGAAAACATACTCGTTTTCCTGGCACTATAGTGCCCTGAGGGTGCCCCCACCCTCAGGGACCCCCTCCCGCCCGACTCTGGAAAGGGTAAAGGGGTTTAAACTTACCTTTTTCCAGTGCTGGGTGGGGAGCTCATCTCCTCCAATCCTCCTTCTCTCCTCCCCGTCGGCTGAATGCGCACGCGCGGCAAGAGCTGCGCGCGCATTCAGCCGGTCACATAGGAAAGCATTCATAATGCTTTCCTATGGACGCTTGCGTGCTCTCACTGTGAAAAATCACAGTGAGAAGCACGCAAGCGCCTCTAGTGGCTGTCAATGAGACAGCCACTAGAGGATTAGGGGGAAGGCTTAACCCATTCATAAACATAGCAGTTTCTCTGAAACTGCTATGTTTATGAAAAAATGGGTTAACCCTAGCTGGACCTGGCACCCAGACCACTTCATTCAGCTGAAGTGGTCTGGGTGCCTAGAGTGGTCCTTTAATGAATAAGCTGCATCACAAAACTCAATGCTAAATTGCATGCATCTAAACCAAATATATCAGAAATAACAAGATATTTTCTGATCAGAGACAAAATGCAGGGGTGTAAATATTTAAGTGCAGAAAACATTTTGTATCTCATAAGGGACTTCCCATAATCAAAAATATCTTTAAAAACCTTTTAAAAAAAAAAAAGTAGGAAATAAATATAACAATAAATTCATAATAAGAGTGCAAGTGGAATAGCAAATCAATTTAAAAATAGAACATCTATTTTAGGTGCATGCTGCATGTATATTATGCATGGTATATATATAATATATAATATATAATATACTGCGCTTCTCCATTGCCCGCTCAATCCTCTCCCATCTCACCTTATCAGATCTCTCTCCACTTCTCTTGTGCCTTCCTTAACACACATCTTCAACTGCTCTCTCTCTCTTCTGGCGTTGTCCCTGCTGACCTTAAACATGCCACTGTAGTACCTATCCTGAAAAAAACATCTCTTGACCCGTCCTCCCCCTCTAATTATCGTCCCATATCCCCGCTTTTCCTCAAAGCTTCTGGAAAGACTTGTCTTTACCCGTATGTCTCACTTCCTCAATTCCAACTCTCTCCTTCACCCTCTTCAATCTGGCTTTCGTTCTCTCCACTCAGCTGAGACTGACAACCTAATCGCAGCTAAAACCAAAGGCCACTACTCCACACTAATTCTTCTTGACCTCTCTGCTGCCTTTGACATCGTTAATCATGCTCTCCTTCTTCAAACTCTTCAATCACTCGGTCTCTGTGACTCTGTCCTCTTGTGGTTTTCCTCTTATCGCCTTATCTCTCCCAACGCTCATTTAGTGTCTCCTTTTCTAATGATACCTCCTCCCTGTGTTTTATACCCCACCTCATATAGACTGTAAGCTCACCTGAGCAGGGTCCTTGTCAACCTATCATTCCTGTAAGTTTTCTTGTAATTGTCCTATTTCTAGTTAAATCCCCCCTCTCATAATATTGTAAAGCGCTACGGAATCTGTTGGTGCTATATAAATGGCAATAAAATAATAAACATAATGCATATATATATATATATGTATATATATATATATATATGAAACAAGGGGGGGTTGGCTGCACTCACCTGAACATGCATAAATGGGGGTGCTGCTGGGGGCCAAATTATACAATACACAAGATCCAGCGCACTCACCTATCCACTAAACAGCAATTTCAATGTTGAAAGATTTTATTTGTTTTTTTTTAAAACACCTAATCTAGGCACAAATAAAAGGGGTTTAGTTATATTATATGATCATACATTGCATAAGCCTGCCACAACGTTAATGTACCCCATCTTTGGCAGGTCCTACACTAACAGCCTAATGTCTGCTCTTATGAGATTAACCCACTTACTTGGGGAAAAAAAATCCATCTTGGGCTCTCTGTTGTACAAGGATAAATAGGGCCCGGGGATAAGGAGGGGTGCAAAACCAAGGAGTTGGCTAGACTCTCAAATATATATATATCTGTATATATATGAAACAATACATGTATGTTCAGGTGAGTGCAGTCAAACCCCCCACCCCCCCTTGTTTCATATATATATATTTGGGAGTCTAGCCAACTCCTTGGTTTTGCACCCCTCCCTGTCAGAGGTGCCTCATCCCAGGGCCCTATTTAGCCTTGTACTGCAGAGAGCCCCAGATGGAATTTTTTTCTGTCCTATCAAAGCCAATATATAATATACATGCAGCATGCACCTAAAAAGAAACCATTACAAAGGCAACTTTGCTTAATGAAGCAGTTTTTTGCATGGGTCATGCCTCTGAAGTTTCACTGCTGAATTCACTACTATTTATGGTTCATGTTTACAATTTTTGCATGTTACCTTTTCCAAAAGGGCTATTATTTAAGTAAACATTTTTTTTATTATAACGACAATTATCTGGTGGAGCATTGTGATAAATGCCCCTATGGGCGAGCCTCAACTGTATCATCTTTTCCTTACATGCATTATTTGTCTGCTATATGTTTTAGACATCTTGCGCTAACGAAAATAATTAAAGACTTGATAACTTTTTCAAAATGATTAACTCAAACATAATCATAAGGTTACTGAAACAGAGACCAATAAGACTGTGTTCCTTTAAGATAATAATGTGCACAAACCTATTTAAAGGCTTGCTATTG